CGAGATTCTATTCGCACCGCATTGTCCATTCAGTCCTTTTCATCACATTGCAGATCCTCGGTTATTACGTACATTGCATATCTGTGCATGTAACACCTCCGACTCCCCCCCCTGACCCCTTCGCCACCCCCCCCACCTCCTCAGGACTCCCCCCCTCCTACACCCCTTCCCCCTTTGTCCCACCTGCTGGTACCTCGCTTCCCATCTTGTCCACCCCTCCCCCTTCGCCAATTACCCCCCTCTTTTCGTGCCCCAACACCACCTAATTTCCCCCTGCCTCCCCCACTTCCCAACATACCTGAGCGGCGGTCGGCCAGCCCGCAACATCAACTGCTTACCGCCCAGTACAGGGGCTGGGAGAATCATGGTCCATGCTCCAACCGACATCATACATACAATGCGAACATGCCATTGTATTGCAGATTTGCAGGTTTCACAAATAGGTGATGCATGACTGTAGAAAGGGTATAGGGTTCAAAGGATTAAACGGATAGACACCGTAATAAAACATGAATTGGGGAATAGGTTGTAAAGGGTTTAAAAGGGACAATCATAGCAATAATCAAGCAAGGGGGCTGCTGAAATAGGGCTGGGCAGATAGATAAGGGGTGATCCAAAAAAAAGGGAAGGGGGTCACTAGCAGCTCCAAGGGATAACGGAGCCCCGGGATGAGCCGGGATGAGCCATTAATAACCACAGCCCTAGGAATCAACAAACTCCAATCTCTGTGCTCCACGATGTACCTATGGGACACTGGACCCGTTTTCCAGCAGGTGCCACTCCCAACCAATAGATGGAGCAGTCCAACAGATAGGCCCTCAATTCAGACGGTTCTCGTACCGCCGTCAGGATGGAGGATTATCGCACGGGCTTCTCTAATACCCTAAAGGAAAAGGCGGGTCTCGCGTGACGGGCCCACGCGAGACACCGCTCCCGGTGCCAAGGGAAACCGCAGGAGGGAGGGAACAGGGCAGCGGAACCGGCGTGGGGACGAGGCCGAGGTGGGGGCCAGTGGAACCGGCGGAGGGGCGAACAGCGAAAGTGGACGCGAAACGGCGCGGGCCCGCGGGCAAAACCGGCAGCAGGGGGGGGGCGGGGTCGGATTGCGACGCGCGGGGCGAACCGGCGCGGGGACGAACGGGCAAAACCGCCAGCAAGGGGGGGGCGCGGTCGGACTGCCCGCTGCAAAAGTGGACGTCAAACGATGTAGGCGCGCGTGCAAAAGCGCTAGCAGGGGGGGGCAGGGTCAGAGGGCGACGCGCGGGGCCGGTCTAAGGCCGACGTGCACGGGCAAGGCAAAAGTGCGAGGAGGGGGGGAGATACGCATTGCCGAACAGGTAAGTCTCCAACCCCTGGGCTGGCCTCGGACTTATCGTCTCTCTCTCTCTCTCTCTCTCTCTCTCTCTCTCTCTCTCTCTCTCTCTC